TTTATTTCAACAAATTCTTCATATTTCGTTTATCTTTTCACAGTAAATTACTTTCAAATAGCAGTAATCAAGATCCATCAATTGTGTGCTTCTTATGCTTGTGAAGATTTTTTTCATTATAATTATGGTGTTTCTTATGCTTCTTATCCTATTTTTTTTATAGGAACCACCCCGAAAGGTGTTTCCAATAAGAATACTGAGAGTCACTTAGTAGATTGTGAAGGCTTCAATATCTTCGAAATGTGTTGCCGCTTCAATTGTATTAATGTATTTTCATTGGGAATGTTTTCTAGGTTGTATTTATTGAGCCGGATTAACGTAAAACTAAAAGTGATATATTGGCTCTTCGGAAACCACAATGGTGGCTATAAAGAGGACTTTACAGCTTTCCCGTTCAACATGATTGTGATTTATTGCCTTTGTTAAAAATGTAAAAGGGAGTATACCAACTTATTATTAAATGAAAATAGAATCATGCTTTGGCAATTTCAACTAAAGCCACCCGCCTTCTCATATTCTTGTGTCTTTTCAATTAACGTGTACGGAGTATAATGTTCTGTCTTTTAATGTTTCATTAAATGTTTTGTCTTTCTATTCTTCTATAACAACGAAGCCGCCAATATTAATGGTCACCACCCGCCAACTTTTCTCCGTTACACTTAGCTACGGTGTTCCCGCCCAAAATCCCCCACACTTTTCTGATTTACTATATATATATAGATATAGATTAGCTCCAAATGTCATATACAAATCAAATATCTTTTTGCAGCTGACTCGATAGGAAAGTTGGATGATGCTTTCCAGAGAGCAAACTCTTACTTCGAGTGAATATTGTGCTTTTTATGATTCCATAGCGTGTGCCGATTTTGGACGAGTTTTGTTTGCCAATTTTGGTTTGGCAGATTTTATAACTAAAAAATATAAACCGTAAACCGAATAACATATGATCAGTCACTTCCCGTCGGTTTCGGATTTATCAATTCGTTTTGGTCGGTTTCAGCTTTATCGATTCGTTTTGGTCGATCTCGATTTTGGTCTGTTCGATTTTAAATCTGTTCGATTTTTATTTTAAATCTTTTATTAATAAGGTGTTTGAGCTTGATTAAGGTGCGATGCACGGGACATAGAATAAGTAATAGCTATATAATAGAGAGTATTATATTATTTGTTAACATTACAAGTATTATTTAATGTGTAAATGAATGTAAGTAGTACAGATGTGACACACAAAATTTTAATTACGCAAAAGATACGAATCATAATTGGTACGAAAAAATTTTTGGAATAAGAAGAATTGATGAATATTAAAAAAAGGTTTTCGCAGTCTACACATTTCGAAACATTTTCTTGTAAATAACATTGGTAGCATGATTGATTTGTTCGCCATCTTTAGCGCAAATCAATATATTCAAACCGCTTGAGAAATGAGACAATTGGACTAAATGTAAAGGTAACACTTGTTGAAGATAAAATGCGAGGACCTCAATTATTTCTCAATTGCTTTGTTTTATTCAAACTGAAGTTGGTAAAAAAGTAGGCAAAAAGATGACTTTTACTCGTGTGAGGTAACCTTATTTCTAATGAATCACTCATAGTAGACTTATTTTTATCAAAATAATTAAAACGTAGAAGACACTTTCCTAACAAAAAAAAACATTTGTCCTCATTCAATTTGAAAATTATTCACATACACTATAAGGTGAATTTAACTCTAATTTAATATGCAAGTTTATTCAATAAGTACTTTTAATCTATTTTAAATGATTTTTTGTGATTTAGCAACTTGTAACACAGTTTCTTTATTATAGACTCTTATACGATTTTTACTAATTCACCTATTAAGAGTCTTGCTTTACTATTATACCCATATGTGAACATATCAAATTTTACCAGTTACGTCGTAGATTTTTCAGTCTAATTAAAACTATTTTAAATATAAATGATTTACAACAATACAACATATCAAATTGGCTGAATTGGCTTATTCTGCTGAAATTTATGAAATTCTGGCTGAAGTGGCCGTATTGGCTGATTCTGTTGATTCATGAAAAAATTATATTAGGAGTATTAATCAAGAGATGACTGAAATATTAGGAGTATTAATCAAAAGAGTTTCATAAAAAAATTTATGAAACTCTTTTTTGTTTTCTTTACTTGTATTAAATACTAGTTCCGTAGTATAGAACTCTAAATTTCATGAACATGGTTTGTCAAATAATTTGTGATTTGGACTTTAAAATTTACCTTAGCACATTGGATTTTTAAGACTTTAGACTTAGACCTTTTAATATACGGAGTAATATAATCTCATTCGTTCTAAATAAAGTTCTCATTTCCTTTTTAAGAAGGTTCAGAACAAATTAAAGTTTCCACTTACATTTTGACAAAATAACCTTAAATAATACTAACTATCAATTATAAACCAATAATACATACTTTGAGGAGGAAATTACCAAAATACGGGCTTTTCCCGTCTGACAAGGCAAAATACGGGAGTTCCCTTTAAGTTACCAGAATACGGGAGTCGGATTTGGCAAATCCGACTAGGGAAGGAATGACAATAATTATAAAGTGGTCTAAACACTTTATTACTAATACTGCAGATAAGAGTAATAGAGTAAGGGAAGGAATGACAATAATTTTTTTCCCATTCTCCTCAATTCAACGTGATCCTTTTATTTATACGCTAAATGTGACTCTTTGAAAAGAGACAATTTTTCATTTCAAAACCAACTTTTGAGTTTTGATCGCCACAATGTCATTCACTCGAGCATTTTTTTTCGCACACCATTTTTGCACAATTATTGAAATCAAGACCTTTGAACTGCTCTGGCCATTTTTCAAGCAGTTTGGATTTTCCTCAATTTCACACAAGCCAGATTTCAGGAAACAAATATAAACAAAAACAAATTTTTATCATCCCTTCACGGGTAAGCTCCTCCTCCCCTATTCAGATCCGCTTTTTCACTGGTAAGCTCCCCCTCCCCTATTATCACTTCACTTCACTTCACTTCACTTCACTGGTAAGCTGTGGCCTTTCAGACCCGCTTCTTCCCTCCCCGGATCCAAAACAAGGTAAATTACTCAGAGTGGGTGGCGCCCGGAGGGAGGGGTCGCTGCTGGGACGGAGTGCAGAAAGCAATAAGCTGAGGTCCTCGCTGCTCGGACGGAGTGGGGAGGAGGCCGCCGAGATGGTTGCTGAGCAAAAATATGATTTGGAGGGCAAGGAAAGACGAAGATCGAGGGACAGGTGCAGGGCCGGCCGGTGCTGAGCTTGTTGTCGCAGGTGACTGTCCGCCTGGACACATACGTAACGGAAGCTTTACAGCTTATTTTTTTCCCACACCGAAACGGAGAACTTAAAGTCTCGCCTGGCATGCTTATAAATGTAAGTGTACAGTTGCTCCCAAATGCACCCAAACTTTGGGACTCGGGGCTTCTCAGTCCTGTCCCGCTGGGTTGGGCTGGCAACCCCTTTGGGGCCGGCCCTTAGGTTAGGGCGCCGCTTAGGGCGCCGTTAGGTTTAGGTTTTAGGTAGGTAGGTTTAGGGCGCTGCTTAGGGCGCCGTTAGGCTTAGGTTAGGGCGTCGCTTATGGCGCCGTGAGGCTTAGGTTTTAGGTAGGTAGGTTTAGGGCGCTGCTTAGGGCTCCGTTAGGCTTAGGTTAGGGCGTCGCTTATGGCGCCGTTAGGCTTAGGCTTAGGCTAGGCTCAGAAGAATTAATGATGGATGAACTCATGAAAGTTAAACCGTGGGCAAGTCGTGGTTTGACTTATCAGTTAATTATCAGGGTTAAGGTTTTGTGGGGTTTTTCTAGATTGACCGGCCTGAAAGGGAAAAAGAATTAATGAAGGATGAACTCATGAAAGTTAAATTTTAAGGAACGGGAAAGAAAGAAAGGGAAAAGGAACGGGAAAGAAAGAAAGGGAAAAGGAACAAAGAAAGAAAGAAGGGAAATGGAACGGGGAAGGGAAAGAAAGGGAAAAGGAACAGGGAAGGGAAAGAAAGGGAACGGGGAAGGAAAGAGGGAAAGGGAAATGGAAAAGGAACGGGGAAGGAAAGAAAGGGAAAGGAATATTAACAAGTAATTAATAAGCAAGTATAATAATAAAAATAATAATATACTAGGATAAGTTGTACTACGTACTTCTCATCAGACTAAGTGGTAAGGGTCTGTTTGGAATCTGAAATACTACAGGGGGAAGGAGGTAAAACACAGATTAATATATCTAAAATGAAAGAAAAATTAGGGGAGAATAAAAGATATATATTGTATTTAAATTAGTCGATAATCTATTACATAAAGAATAAGAAATCTAAATGCTTGTCATTTGTCAAAAAATCGTTAGAAAAAGGTATTCATATTTCATTTTCCTTCACATTCTTTTCTTTTCCTAGCATTGCTTGTGGTCCCATGTATTTCCATATAACTTTTGGCTCTGCTGTCATGAATGGCTTTGTTTAAATTTGGACAATGTAAATATATGTACACAGTAATACTGAACTTTGTTTCTTTTAGACTTTCTGCTTAGCTAGAAAGAGATGCAAGTGCTTTCAAGTATTAATTTATTTGTTTGGCTTTCTTAGTCTCTATGCACGGGGTGTTAAAAATAGACAAGTGAAATGAGATTGAACTAATGTATAAATAAGTTTACTGAGTTTCAATCAATGTTATCCCCCCATCACACTTTCTTTTGTTTCAATCTTTTCTATAGCCCTTCCTATCTCTTTCCCATAGTATTACGATTGTTTTTCGACAGTTTCCAAACGGCGCCTTAAGAAACTCTAATGGAGCCTTTATAACGCCTTTTTTCTCATTTAAAAAGTGATGTTTCTGCATTTCCCATTTCACACTTCCTCGCCACCTAGCAGTGTACATTAACAGAACTTGAATGAAAAGTTACACTCATAGCATTTGAGTACACTGTGTACGTGTAACCAAATAAATGGTCGTTATGCTGTAACGGATTTTTTGGTGGTTTACCATGACCTACCCTTTCAGGATGATCCAAATACAAATGCTGGGTGAGGTTCAAATTTGACTGAGGGTAATGTGGAATGTGATGCAAGCATAATGGATGGTGATTCTGGAGCATTTGGTGCTGTAGGGGCAGTGCCAGGTACACCAATATTCAACTTTAATTGGTCATTTTTTATTTGAAAAGCAATTATGATGTAAGTTATGGTCTTCAGAGCATTTGTTTTTACTTGTAACAGTCATTACACCTTTTTGTGAAGTTAATTATTGGCAGGTGTTAGAAATGCCATCCAGATTGCTGCATTATTTATTAGCCAAGGACCAGCTTTCCGGTTCAACACTGCTGGGTCGGATATCCCCCATGTATGGTTTACTCTTTCTTTGAACCTTAGTTGTATTCTTCTTAAAATGAATCTAGCTCTTGTTTTGTTGGGTTGAATATTCCATCAGCTCTTTATTGGATTTGAGTCTAATTTCTAAGTATGATGTAAAACTTACCTCTTGAAGATTCTTTTGAGGTGAATTAGACCCTATGTAGTGTGTTATTATAACCCGATTTGATGGTTACATGTGGAGTGTTTCCACTTTATGGTTTGAGAATTGGGATTCAATTTGGCTCATTTATTCACCCTTAACTTCTCCTCCTTGGCTTGGGTTGGAGGGTGTTTTGAGTATCTCAAATGGGTTGTCTAATGAGTCATGCATAAATGTGAAATAGATTAAATCTCACCTCTTAGAATTAGGATGACTTAGCTAAAGATAACATATTGTGTGTGTCTGTGTGTCCGGAATGAGCTTACCAACACTTCTGTAGGTTTTTGGTTGGTGAAGGTGCACGAGCATGGGCAAAATCTAAAGGTGTTGTTCTACCAGGAACAATAAAAGAAGCTGACAAGGTTCTCTTCCTTCTTCCATTCATATCTGTGTGACTTTATGGTAACTTGGTTGTTTCCAAACATAGACTCATGGACCATGACTTCTTCTCTTCCAAATATTTGTCACTTAAGGCTCTGTTTATTTCCAGGAAATTTTTTTGTCCTGCAATCTGTTTTGCGTGGAAATTAAGTTGCTCTATTTAAAATATAATGTTTGACCCAAAAAATTGTTTGAGGAAAGTTACTTCCCCTGTTCAAAACAGGAAAACAGTTTGCACAAAGTATCAAAAGATCGGGGGGGGGGGGGGGGTTTATGTTGCTAAACACTGAAATTATTTTTTGGAAAGAAAGGGCGCGCTATAATCCAGAAAATGTTTTCTTGGATAGTATTATCATGTGCCAAACATAGGAAATCAGGAAACATATTCTAGGAAAATATTTTCCCATAAGAAAAGGGAACCCCTGAGTAAATTTTGTTTCTTAATATATGTCCTTTTTGTTGATTGGTTGGAATTAAACCTTTCACTTTCATTGGAGAAAAGTGTCTTTACTTTCAATTCTCTTTGGTAGTGGCATACTTGTTACGGCGTCGTCTAGGCGTTGTCTAGTCAACGACTAGGCGTCCTGGCGCTCTGGAGTGTTCGCCGGGTTCCCTCTCCTCGCCAGAAGAAGAGAAGGCGATCATGGCGTCGTCCAGGCGTGCTTTGGCGATAAGGCGCTGTTTTGGCCAGTCTAACCGCAATCGCCGATTTAAGGCTTTAGGGTTTTAATTAGAGACAAAGCATAGTAATTTTAGAAGACCGTGAAGACGCAGAGTCTCGAGACCCAGACTCTTACGAAGAAGTCAAAAGCATAGAACTCCCAAAGTTGCACTACCTTGTGTAGACGAACAGTACGTTACCAGGTCCCCATCTATGATTGTCTAGCCGATATGTTCGTATATATGCAGAGTATATACATACTAGTACATACACATAAAGTTACTCCATTTCATAGTTCGCATGTGTTACGATGGTTTGATAATAAATGAGAAAAAGATGGAAGAGGAAGATGGAAGACAAAGAGGGAGAAGAAGGAAGGGGATTACTCCATTAAAAACCATTGCTTGTATGCAATTTGAGTTTGTGTGGGCCAGATCCTGGGGTGAAGGGAGCAGGGGGGCAGTCCACGGGGAAATGGGGGCAGTTCCTGGGGAGAGTGGAGGGGAGAGCAGGCCCTGGGGAAAGTGGGGCAAACCAGTGGATAGTGGAGACTGGAGGGCATCCCGTGGGCGGGGTGGGGGGCATGCCTAGTTTCTGATGCAGCTGCTACACTCGGAACATGGCTAAGAATGGAAGGACTAAAAATAAAAGAAAAGATCTTGTTAGGAGAAGATATAAAGCAGAAGAAGAAAATTAGAGATAAAGGTATCAATTTTTTAAATGAAAAGATAGAATTAGAGCAAGAACAAATAGACAATACCGAAAAATATAGAAAATAAGAAAGAATGAAAAATTGAATTAAACAAGAGGATGAAGACAGAAAGAAGAAACGTGCGCCATTCAAAAATAAGTTGAGAAGCATTTCCCAGCACAGGCGTGACAAGCGTGCGCCTCAGCTCTTCTTGCGCCTGAGGCATATCACTGCGCCTGGAAATTATAAGGTGCTACCCATGTTTAGCGCCATTCACATAATAGGTCAAAACAACTTAAACCCATGTTAAACCCTTCTAAGTCACGGTAAAAGCCTTCTATCGTGCGTTTTCATCATTACTCTCCTATGCTCTACTCGCACAACCTGTTCAGCGCTCCAACCGCATCCAACAAATCAACAATCAACCCACTGAAGCTAGCAACCCTTAAGGTTTCTTCTTCCTCATCATCTTCCCATGTTCTTTCTTCTTTCTTTTTCAGATTGTAGTTTTCATTTATTTTGTCATCTTCTTGTTGATCCTTTCTTTCTATTCTTTCAGTCTATCTTCTCTCTTTACTTTTACCACTTGCAGTCATCTATGCGTACTTTATAGTTCTCTTTGCATACTTTATGGTTCTCTTTGCTTCATCTTATATTATACAGTCTATAACTCTATATCTTCTTATCATCATTTCATATTTTAATTGTATAAAACTTCGTATAATCTAACTCGGTTAATAGTTTCACACACTACAATTTATGCTACCCGTAGTCCTCATACTGCAAAATCAGCCAAAACAGACCCTGCTCGGTGTTTTGTTTATGTGAACCATCAACCATGACTTTTTTCTGTGGATTGTGACTTTGTTATTGAGAAACATGATTTTTTAATGCATTTAGTTCGATATGATGTTGAATATGTCATATTTGATCACTCTAGAATAGTATACATAATATTTTCTAAATAGTGGACTTGACATGAGTCAGGCAAGTGTTTTTTTGCGCCTTGCGCCTCAAAAATTAGGTAAATATTATATGTTATTATCAAGTACATTTGTTACAATATTGTATTATAATGTTATATTTTATTATGAAATGATACATTCTTATATTTTATTTTCTGTTATTATACAACAACATCCAAGCCTTATTCCCAAAAGATTTTGGGTATTTTCCGTTATTATAGTATAAATAAAAATTAAATTTGGCAAAACTAAGTATATACACCTTGCAGGTCTGATTGGATGATATGCCATGAATGACAGGCTGTTTAGGGTTCTACCTCCCGAAGCATTCTCTTATCAGTGTGGTTTAGACACGAGAAAAAGGTAAGCACTAAGCATAAACACTGCCATCATTGTGAGGTTACGCTTGTATTGTTTTTAGTATTGGCTATTGATTGAGATCATTGATTCATCTTTTGGATCAAGTAAGAGATGTGCTTGCAAGAACTGGTCCAATTTTGGCAGGTCCAGGGGAAAGTGAGGCCACCAGTGGATGGTGGAGGGCATTCCCTGGGTGGGGGGTAGGAGGACGTGCCCATCTTCTAATGTAGCCGCAGGCCCGCAGCACTCGGATCTTGCCTAGGAACGGAAGGACCAATGATGACACTCACTCCGCCATCTAAGGGTCAGATTCCCTTTAAGACATGTCCATCTGTAATGTTTGGTTATGATAAGCTTAGAAGGAAGTTGAGAGGGGAGGGATTAGGAAAAAGGGGGAGCAAGGAAAAGGAGCAAAAAGGGGAAGAAGAAGGGGGAGAGGGGAAGAAAGGAAATATGAGTAGATAAGGGAAGAAGAAGGGGGCAGGGACGACTAGGCGTCCTGGCGCTCTGGAGTGGTCGCCGGGTTCCCTCTCCTCGCCAGAAGAAGAGAAGGCGATCATGACGTCGTCCAGGCGCGCTTTGGCGATAAGGCGCTGTTTTGGCCAGTCTAACCGCAATCGCCGATTTAAGGCTTTAGGGTTTTATTTAGAAACAAAGTATAGTAATTTTAGAAGACCGTCAAGACGCAGAGTCTAGAGACCCAGACTCGTACGAAGAAGAAAAAGCGTAGAACTCCTAAAGTTGCACTCCCTTGCGTAGACGAACAGTACGTTACTAGGTCCCCATCTATTATTGTCTAGCTGATATATTTGTATATGTGCAGAGTATATACATACTAGTACATACACATAAAGTTAGAGGCTGAGAGCATAGGCTGCTGGGTACTATTATTGTATGTTACTTGTAGAAATTAATAAACTATTAGACTTTATGTAATTTAACTTTTTGTAAAGTACATTCATACTTATTATACAATTATTATGCAATATAGCATCAGTAATATACAATTTAATTAGTAATATACTCCCTCCGGTCCCAAAAGAACTTCCCATAGTTTGACTTTACGGTTTAAAAAGTGGATTTTTTTTTTTGACTTTCTAATTATGCCGCCCCAAAAGTAGATAAAATATAGTGGGAGAGAGAAAGTTGGTGTAAAGTAGGTTATAAAGTAAGGGTATAAGGGTAACTTTATATTAAAATGTTGCCAAAAATAGAAGTGTGAAGTTTATTTTGGACCTACCCAAAAAGGAAAGTGTGAAGTTGTTTTGAAACCGGAGGGAGTATCATATATAACACATAGTGTATAATAAATTACGAATTAAATATAGTTCAATAAAATCTTATATATCTTATATAAATATATCATAATTATATATATAATTGTGTATATAATTATAAATATATAGTTATACCAGTCGCCTAATTGTCGTCTAGGCGGGCGCCTTGTCGCCGAGGCAATATGGCAGGTAGCAAGGGTGCGATGGGAAAGGAATAGAGTTGGGGGAAAAGGAAGAAAGGAAAAAGGAACTGGAAAAGGAAGGAAGGGAAAAGGAACGGGGGGAAGGAAAGAAAGAAAAGAAGAACAGATGAATACATAAATAAGTGAGTATAAAGAAACCTTATTTTTGGCAAAACTAAGCATATACACCCTTGCAGGTCTTATGATACTCAGCAAAAGGAAATCCTGGCAGATAGATGGCCATGAAGGAGCGATGTGCCCTGGAGAATTACTAAAGCTTTTCTGTGAATGGTATTCTACCATTCTTCCTTGCATAAATTAATGATCAGTTTTCTATTTTTTGCTGAACTTTACTTTTTCATAGGTTGTCTGTATCATCTACCTTGTCTATTCACGGTGTTGCCAAACCTCCCCGTGGGGGGGGGGGGGGGGAGAGGCAACGGCGCGGGGGGAAAGGAGGAGAGTGGGAGGGGAAAGAAATGGGGAAGGACAAGGAACGGGGAAGTAAGTAAGGGAAAAGGAACTGGAAAGGAAAGTAGGAAAATGAGTACTGCAGCAGTTGACATGCTTAGTTTTATCCATAAGGTTTCCTTTTATTTGCCTCATTATTCACGGTGTTCTCTCAACTTAAGTATCCATAGCAATTCATGTTCTTGATCAATACCTTTTACCTAACACGGTAAGGTTTGATTTGAAGTCCACATTAAACATCTGAAATAAGTTTTGCAGCAGTTGACATGCTTAGTTTTATCCATAAGGTTTACTTTTATTTGCCTCATTATTGTCAGTCAGAATTCGACCCTTAATGACACCAATGTAATTGATTGTACAGCAGAACCCTCTAAATAGGAGTGGGATGTCTCCTGTTGTATTGTAGTGCTCGGGAGTATGGGAATATAATACATTAGTACCAAAATAGTAGTGGAATATCTGCTGTTGTTGTGTTGTGGAATAGTAGTTTACCTCAAAATTTGAAACTCAAGTTTTTATATTTTTTGACAAATAAGTATCACATTACTTGGATCAAGGCTTTTCTGATTTGTTACTTTGAAAGAAATAAGTGTTCCGTGGTCTCTTTTTGCTGGTAAAAACAACGGTTCGAATTCCCGCTTTCTTTTTAGAACAGTCCATTGGTATCACATTACTTGGATCAAGGCTTTTCTGATTTGTTACTTTGAAAGAAACAAGTGTTCCGTGGTCTCTTTTTGCTGGTAACAACGGTTCGAATTCCCGCTTTCTTTTTAGAACAGTCCATCGGTGTCAGATGTTCCATACACGATAATATCCCAGGCTTAGTCCCAAAACAACTTGGGATCAGCTTACCTGAATCGACAAACTCTTTTGGGACTAAGAATGGAATGGACGGTGATGAGAACATCCAGAGATAACAAGAAATAGTAAAATACCCTGCCTTTTCCACAAGCGGAAAGGCAATGCCCTTGCCCTTTGGTAATGAGAAAATACTTATTTATCCAGTAGGGTGGGAGACTGGAAGGACAGAGTAGAGTTTCATCCCTGATTTTTGTGTGTCCCTAGTACTGTAGCTATTGTGGAGGTTAAGGTAATCTTGTGGCCTCCTTTCTTTTGTTCTCCAAATTTCCCCTGAATCATGTGTCATATTTGCTGAAGGCTATTCAATGTTGAGGCTGGATCTTGTTCACAAATCTGTTTGGTACTGAGTTCATTTTTAAAACTGAGATAGGTTGTGCTTTAATCAGAATTGGTTAGTTGGCTTTTCTCATATCAATTACTCCCCTCGTTTTCCTTTAAGGGTTCAGCTTTCTATTCAGAAGTTGTAGTGTATTTCTTCCATTTCCCGCTTTTGGAGAATAAAGGTTTTGTGAATACCATAAGTGCCCCTAACTTTTTCATGCCCTCTCCTACTATTTTTACTTTTTCATGTTTTCTTCTCCTACTTTTTTTTGTCTCTTTATATACTATGCACGTACTCTTAAAATCTCTAAAAGCCTAGCAGAACAATTAAATGAAAATGGAGGGAGTGTTCAATTTTATTACTTGATCTCTTTTGGAGATTATACCCTGCTGCTAGTCACTTGTATAACAAGAGGATGCTCAAGTGGGAATATAATAACTAGCGTTGAGTTCCATTTTTTTGTATTTGTACACTATTAGCTACCCTGTATGAAGGTGAGGACTATTATGTAGGTGTTGCATTCTAATGGCGACTTGGTATTTGCGTATTTTGAATAGTTCAATGAAATATGGAGCAAATTTTCGGGTAGAAATTTATGGACTACCTGCAAATGAGATCAAGTTGTGAGTGACTATGCTTTTGATGTCATTGCATGGCCTTAAAGAGTACAATGACACTACTAACAGGAACTTTTGATGATGAACTTGAATAATTTATCGTTTGCTGCAAATGAAATATCTATGTTTTAGTGGGCATATTCACGTGTTGTCTGTAGTGTGCAATGCAACTGAAATGTCTATGTTTTAGGGGCATAATACTGTAGTGTGCTTTAATTGCTTGTAAGAGTGCTGCATGTTCTGAAGTAACTCCAAGGTCTAGTTGCTTTAGATATATAGATATAATATAACTATGTGCGATATTAAGGAAGTGTTTGCTATTTATTGTGCTCCTAAAAAAGTTATTTTTCTTAGTGAAAAGTTATTATAGAGAAACCGCTTGATAAAAGCCGGCAGTGTTTTAAATTGGAAGTGATTTTTTATTAAAAGTAAAAGTTCGGTAGAAAAGTGATTTGTAATGTAATATTCAGTGGAAGTACCAAAATGTATAATTTTTCCGCATGCTCTGTTTTGTCTTGTCATGTAGGAGTAGGATAATTGTTGCATATATGTTTAGGGCTAAAAGATTGAGTTAGCTACAGAAAAACCGAAAAGCATTTACAAGAAAGTTAAGCGCAAGCACGTGTTTGAAAACCTTATGTTTAACGTTTTTGAAGCAAGAAGCTGAAAAGTGATTTTTTGAACCATCACAAGCACTGCCTGGTTCTCTAGCTCTATTTTCCTTTTTGCGTATTTTCAATTTTATTTGCTCTTGTGCTTCTTCTTAAGGATATGTGACTATTGTTAGCTCACAAATTTCAATCTGATTTTGTTTCCATGTGTGGAAATTTGAGCGCGTTTTCTTGTTACAGGCGGTTAAATTAAAAGGAAGGAGAAGCACCTCCCGGACTCCCTTTGAGAGGTGCTGGTCAGGATTCTGACGCACAGCCAAAGGTGAAGACTTGCCTGTGTGTGTTTTCAGAAGGTCATTTAAAGTCATTGGAGTATAGTAGATAATTAGTTGAAAAACAGGTTTCTAATGGCGATCTTCCTAATCCGTGTGGTGCACTATTTGATTAACTCTGGGAGGTAACGAAGCAGAGAATACGGAAAGCATCCATATGTGGGGAACTGCCTGGGCTGGGACTTGTGGTCTGTAAGTTCTTCTTCTTTGAGGTCATATGTTTTCTGGACATTTGGGTGCTTTATGTGTCTCTTCTCATTCAGGTATTGTTGTTGAGGTAAATTAGCATCTCACTCATGCAATAGGCACTTATAAGAAAGCAAGAAGAAAAAAGGGGTGAACAAGAAAAGGTAAGCAAAAGTAAACCTATATATTATTATATTATATGTTATTATACTCCGTATTATAATTAATATTAATACAGTTATGATCTTTATGAACCGATCCGGCTGATAAAAGGAATTGCTTAGGTTATCGTTTGAATTTTCTGAAACAAAAAAGTGTCTGGCAAAGCAACACCTTTGGGAAGCCAACAGACCCCAATTTGTATGCAACTATCACCTCAAAGAATTCATTTTTTGTTTGAATTAAATTTTTTATCCAAATATAAAATTACATGGATGGCCTTGCTAAGAGGAACAACTTTTGCTTTAAGGAGTCACTCAGCTGAAATCCATACGGCTGCATTAATGAAGAAAATTTTAGTTTCACCGCTATTTCATGGCATGTATTTTTTTATTTTGATTAATAGTCTGAAATTAGGTAATGCAAAACATACCAAATGATTTGTTGAAGTGTTTCATAGCTGCCTTTCCAGCATTCTTAAGAAACAATCATTACAATCTTTTTTTAGAAGTGGAGAAGTGAATGGGTATCCGAAGGGGGGTGGGTGAGAGGGGGTTAGAAAGGGAGAAGAGAAAGAAGGGTGGTTGCTCAAGGATTTGACGTGCTTTGATTGCAGACAGTTGAAGGTAAGACAAGTGGCAACAACTTATATTCCATGGTCACCGAATTGTAGATGGACTAGATGCCATAACCTGTATAAGTAGAAAATGGGAGCAGAGGGGTTGAACAAGGAAGAGAGGAAGAAGACGGAACCAGAAGAAGATGAAGGGTAAGGAGATATCGAAATGTAAAAGAAAAATCAACTCGGTTTAACTATTAATGATTTTTTTGACAGAAAATTACAGTAAACTTAGCTTGCTGACAGTTAGACAAGATTTATTTGCATTGCCCCACTATGTTGAGTTTGAGTATCTTTTCTGCATCATGGTTTTGAATTTCAGGGTTGCTCTCTCTATGTATTGCATTTGATCATACCTTGGTTCTCTGGATTACTCCATTTCATAGTTCACATGTGTTACGATGGTTTGATAATAAATGAGAAAAAGATGGAAGAGGAAGATGGAAGACAAAGAGGGAGAAGAGGGAAGGGGATTACTCCATTAAAAACCATTGCTTGTATGCAATTTGAGTTTGTGTGGGCCAGATCCTGGGGTGAAGGGAGCAGGGGGGCAGTCCACGGGGAAATGGGGGCAGTTCCTGGGGAAAGTGGAGGGGAGAGCAGGCCCTGGGGAAAGTGCGGCAAACCAGTGGATAGTGGAGGGCATCCCATGGGCGGGGCGGGGGGCATGCCTAGTTTCTGATGCAGCTGCAACACTCGGAACATGGCTAAGAATGGAAGGACTAAAAATAAAAGAAAAGAACTTGTTAGGAGAAGATATAAAGCAGAAGAAGAAAATAAGAGATAAAGGTATCAATTTTTTTAATGAAAAGATAGAATTAGAGCAAGAACAAACAGACAACACCGAAAAATATAGAAAATTAGAAAGAATGAAAAATTGAATTAAACAAGAGGATGAAGACAGAAAGAAGAAACGTGCGCCATTCAAAAATAAGTTGAGAAGCATTTCCCAGCACAGGCGTGACAAGCGTGCGTCTCAGCTCTTCTTGCGCTTGAGGAATTATAAGGTGCTACGCATGTTTAGCGCCATTCAAATAATAGGTCAAAACAACTTAAACCCATGTTAAACCCTTCTAAGTCACGGTAAAAGCCTTCTATCGCGCGTCTTCATCATTACTCTCCTATGCTCTACTCGTGCAACCTGTTCAGCGCTGCAACCACATCCAACGAATCAACGATCAACCCATTGAAGCTAGCAACTCTTAAGGTTTCTTCTTCCTCATCATCTTCCCATGTTCTTTCTTCTTTCTTTTTCAGATTGTAGTCAACTCTTAAGGTTTCTTCTTCCTCATCATCTTCCCATGTTCTTTCTTCTTTCTTTTTCAGATTGTAGTTTTCATTTATTTTACCATCTTCTTGTTGATCCTTTCTTTTTATTCTTTCAGTCTATCTTCTCTCTTTACTTTTACCACTTGCAGTCATCTATGCGTACTTTATAGTTCTCTTTAAACACTTTATGGTTCTCTTTGCTTCATCTTATTATACAGTCTATAACTTTATATCTTCTTATCATCATTTCATTTTTTAATTGTATAAAACTTCATGTAATCTAACTCGGTTAATAGTTTAACACACTACAATTTATGCTACCCGTAGTCCTCATTTTGCAAAATCAGCCAAAACAGACCCTGCTCGGTGTTTTGTTTATGTGAACCATCCAACCATGACTTTTTTCTGTGGATTGTTACTTTGTTATTGAGAAACATGACTTTTTAATGCATTTAGTTCGATATGATGTTGAATATGTCATTTTTGATCACTCTAGAATAGTATACATAATATTTTCTAAATAGTGAGCTTGACATGAGTTAGACAAGTGTTTTTTTGCGCCTTGGGCCTCAAAAGTACTCTAGCGCGTTTTTGACTACCTCGGGGCGGACAGAGTATGGGAAAAGGGCGAAGCAAGAAAAAAGGAGTAGAAAGGGGAAGAAGAAGGGAGGAAAGGGAGTATGGGAAAGGGGAAGAAAGGAAAAATGAGTAGACAGGGGAAGACAAAGGGGGGAAAAGGAAGAAAGCTTATTAAGTAATTATATTATTAGGTAATATTATATGTTATTATTAAGTACATTTGTTACAATATTGTATTATAATGTTATATTTTATTAAAAAATGATACATTCTTATATTTTATTTTTCGTTGTTATACAACAACATCCAAGCCTTATTCCCAAAAGATTTTGGTGTACTTTCCGTTATTATAGTATAAATAAATATTATATTTGGCAAAACTAAGTATATACACCTTGCAGGTCTGATTGGATGATATGTCATGAATGACAGGCTGTTTAGGGTTCTACCTCCGAAGCATTCCCTTATCAGTGTGGTTTAGACACGAGAAAAAGGTAAGCATAAACACTGCCATCATTGTGAGGTTACGCTTGTATTGTTTTTAGTATTGGCTATTGATTGAGATCATGTCTTAGGTATTGATTCATCTTTTGGATCAAGTAAGAGATGTGCTTGCAAGAACTGGTCCAATTTTGTTAGGCCCAGGGGAAAGTGGGGCCACCAGTGGATGGTGTAGGGCATTCCCTGGGTGGGGGGTAGGAGGACATGCCCATCTTCGAATGTAGCCGCAGGCCCGCAGCACTCAATCTTGCCTAGGAACGGAAGGACCAATGATGACAATCACTCCGCCATCTAAGGGTCGATTCCCTTTAAGACATGTCCATCTGTAATGTTTGGTTATGATATGCTTAGAAGGAAGTTGAAAGGGGAGGGATTAGGAGAAAGGGGGGAGCAAGGAAAAAGGAGCAGAAAGGGGAAGAAGAAGTGGGGAGAGGTGAAGAAAGGAAATATGAGTAGATAAGGGAAGAAGAAGGGGGCAGGGAAGATAGATCAAATTAAAGTTATAGTGAAGGAAGCAGATATGAGGATTATACATATATACTTTTAAAATCTAGTAGATATCAATAAATTTTGTTGATCTTTGTGCACCGGCCCAGTTGATCTCCGATCGCTGAATAAAAGGAAATAGCAGCTTCTTCATTGGGTAGTTATCTATAATATAGAGCCTGTTTGCTTAGGGTTATCCTCTGAATTTTCTGTAAGAAAAAAGTGTCTGGCAAAACAACACCTTCGAGAAACAAACAGAGCCTAATTTTTATCCATGTTTCACCACACAGAATTCATTATCTGCTTGAATTCAATTTTTCATCCAAATCTAGAATTACATGTGATGGATAGTCTACCCGGGGTATATATCCGAAGGGTTACTACGGGGAGTAACTTAGAGAGAAGTCAGAGCAAGTAAGTAAGAGAGAGAGTGTATATTCGGTATGTATTAAGCGTTTTCAGCGTGGTTACAAATGGGGAAATGTGGTGCTATTTATAGTAGCAATAAATGCCGGGCAGGGACACGTGTCAAGCGCTCATTGGCCGAGGGGTCACCTCAACTGGTTGGCGCTGGCAGCCGCATGTGGCCGCATTTAATGCGGCTGTTGGATGGGACGTCTGTGCAGAGTACGGTGATCTGTACGCATGTGAGGCGGATATCTTGTCGAGCGAGATGCCTTCGGCTATAGAGCAGTAGCCGAGGGCTCTTCCTCCCGATGGCACCCCTGGTGCCGAGGGCTCACAGTGCCGAGGGCTACTGTTTTAGTCGTTTTCTCCCGATTTCTTAGTTTGCTTGAGAAAACCCGTTCTGTGAGAATTTGGAGCCTTCGGCCAGGGGGCCGAAGGCACCCCTGCGCGTTGTGCAGACTGCTTGGTACTCCGGGCGCTGTGAATTGGGCCTTCTGGGCCTGTTGGGCCTTTGCTGGAGTAGTGGGAGTCTGTGGGTCGGGGGTTCCCCGGGCCATATACTCCATCAGGAGTCCCTCACTCCTTTTGCCGAAAGGTACTTGAGGGAAAAGGAGTAATTTGTGCTCGCCCCTTGATGTTATCCCGTTGTGATCTCTGAAGTTGGTGAGGAGTTGTTGCTTTTATGTCCCTGGCGAAGGCAGTCCCTCAGTTACCCACATGTCGGGACTTGAGGGCTTGCTTTGTTGTTTGTTGGAATTTCACAGATTTTGTAATTTAATGATTTTCCTGAAGGGGTCCTCCAGTCCCCCACTCCTTGAGGCACTTGTAAAGTGGTGAAAAGGAGTGAAGTAGTTATGTTGCTGTTGTGGGCCGAAGGCTGACGCTCTTCGTTTCATTTTGGGGGATGCCTCGTTAAAAACCTCATTAGGAAAAACCCTTTGGGAAAAAATCTTAATGAGGGAAAAAGAGTGCACCGAATTCCCCCAATGATGAAGCGAAAATGTCAAACCTTGGCAAAAATGGAGAATGGCGGGAATGCCGAAGGCTCTCTCTTCTGAGGGCTCCTGTGTTGATTAGCCGAAGGCTTGCTGTTGATGTCCTGGTGGTGCTGAAGGGGAGCCCCTCAATCCAGGGACCGAGGGCCTGCCAGATGAGGGCAGCAGTGAAGTTGTTACCGGGGGGCCCACTGTTTGTTGATGAGTTGGTGATGAAGATACCCGAGGGCTCCCATTACCTGTGTGCCATGGGCCATCCGTCAATGAGGCACTCCCCGGGGGCTACCCGGTTTTGTAGTGCTGAGGGGGAAGCCCCGAGGTGTGCCCTGATATGCAGCCCTAGGATCTGAAGGGGTGATCCAGAAGGCTTATGTAATGTGCTGTGTGGGGCACAACCCGGGGGCACTTCTGGGTGAGTGCACCCGGAGGCTATCTTTGATGGAGTGGAGTGAAGTACAAAACCCGGGGGCTTCCAAAATATAGTCGTTGGAAATATGGCCGTTGGAATATGTAACGACAGGATATAGCCGTTGGGGGGGGGGGGGGGTGGCACACGTGGCGTGTGAAGGCTGGTTGTCCGTGGGCGGCGTCACCGGTTGGGTGAAACGGCGGTGTGTAATGATGGCGTCCATCCGGAGGCCCGGAATCCAGGCCCAAGCCCGGATTCATCGCCTATAAATACCTCAAGGCCAGGCGTTCCTCCGTGTGCGATAAACTTGTTAGCGAAGCTCTGTCAATTTTTCTAGAGAGAGAAAGTTCAGCCTTCGGTCAAAACTCAGCTTCCGAGGTCAGTGCTCCCTGCCTTTCTCCTTCTAACATAGCTGTACTGTGCCCTTAGTTTAGGAGATAGAATTCACTAGGAACCTTAGTTCCCCCGAACCCTCGAGCTAGAGTGTAGAATGTCGTCCCAGAGTGACTCTCAGGACATCTCGAGGACGCCCTCGATGGAGGACGAAGGCATCTCCGACGTGGAGTCCAGCAGCAGTCAGCCCTCGGATGGTGGTGATGTAGCCCTCGCCACTGAGGTGCAGAAGGATCTGACGGCCGAGGCCGAGGCGGAGGAATTCGAGCGGACCGCGGAAGATGAGGAGTTAGTCCTCGCCGTCCAGGTTGCTGAGGAGGAAGAAGAAAAGGAGAGGGCGAAGGTCACTGTGGCCGTCCTTCCCCCTCGGGGTGCTGGTGAGGCCGGTACCTCCCGGCCGTTGAACGCAGTTCCCCTCCGGGTGGCCCCCGGGATGAAGAAGAGAAAGACGAAGGCCGCCCCTCAGAAGAAAACAAAGACCGTCGATCAGGGGGGGCCAGTTGATCTACCGGAGGGTTATTCCTTCCTGGACACCGCCGCTCTGGAGATCAAGTCCCAAGCTGACAGGGCGGACATCTATATCACCCAATTGCATGTAGGGCCCTCAGCCGTGGTAGTCGAGCCAGGTCCCGATGACGTGCTGTCGCGGCCCCCCGAGGGATGTATAGCCGTGCACGTGCTTTCGGTCTCAATGGGCCTCCGGTTCCCTCTCCATCCGTTCCTCCGGGAGTACCTGAGGTACACCGGCCTGGCCCCCTGCCAATTGACTCCCAACAGCCACTCGTACATAACGGGGTTTGTGAACCTGTGCAAACTCCGGAAGGTTACACCGAGCCTGGAGTTATTCTTCCAAAGCTTCAACCTATGCCGGGGGGGACATACAAATGCTGAGGGCTATGCGAACTTACAACAGATAGCCCAGTTCAAGCTGTTCACTGAGGCCCCCTCTTCCAACAAGGGGTGGAGAGAGCGATGGTGCTTCATCAGACTGGCCGACAGCCCGTTCCCGAGGGAGTTGCGGAATTGCTTTCGGCGCCATGTGAAGGCCAAGAGTGCCGCCCTCGAGAAGGATGGCCTGAAGATTGCAAAGATTCCCGAGGGTCGGGAAAAGAACGTAACCATCAAGGAGTGCACCCTCGAGGAGGACCTGTATACCCTCGGATTCCTGATGTATCGGTTCATTGGGGAGACCGATGAGAAATATCCCCTCTACGATAAAGCCTTCGTGGGAGCAGGAGGTAGTGGCCGGGGGCTTTACATTTTCGTACTTAGAGATTTTTTTGTTATGTTTGTTGTCATGTGTTTGACCCCTCGGTTCTAACCTTTCAACTTGTTGCTGTCGTTCTTTGCAGGTAGCAGGATGAATGCCAACGCCTTGTTCGCGAAGAGGAAGGGCAAGACCCAGCAAAAGGAGAAGGGGCCCTCGGGCCAGAAGCCAGTTGACGCGCTTTTCCCGAAGGCCATAGAGCCTTCCGCCGGGAACGCCCATGCTGTTGTGGGGACCGGGGGGTCGAAGGCCGAGGCGGCCGCTAAGAAGAAGAGGAGCGACAAGGGGGTGGAGCCCCCTACCAAGAAGCAGAAAGGCGCCGGGGGTGCTGTCGGGGGGGCGGCCCCCCTCATAGTTATTGATGACATGCCAGCTGCTGGTGAGCCTCTGGCCTCGGTCCCCCCGAAGGATCCGGTAAATCCCCCCCCGGGCGGAATCACCCCGGGAGATCCGTCAGCTCTCCTTTGCCCCCGACGCGTCGTTGATGCACGGCACTGCCGAGCCGAAGGCCTTCCTGCGGGGCATCACCTCGAAGATGGACAGGGAAGTCTTCGAGACCTACGATGACGATGCCCTCGAGAACAGGATCCTCCGGTCCTCGCTCACTGTAAGTATCCGCTTCCTTTTTCCTTATCTTGTCAGTTTAGTCTTATTTTTTCCTGAGGAACAATCTAACTCCTTTGATCATTGTTTGCAGGCCTGCATAGCCCTCGGGGAACAGGCCCGGAGGCGTGAGGAAAGGCGTCTCCACGAGGCTGCCCAGGATAAGAAGGTGGAGGGGCTGATCCGTAAGAACTCTGAGGCAGTGAAGCATGCTGCCCAGCTGGAGGAGGCCCTTCGGGAGGCGAAGGCGGCGGCGGAGAAGGCCAAGGCTGATGGAATAGCCAAAGGCAAGGCAGAGGCCGAGAGGGCCGCTGCCGAGGCGGCGAAGAAAGCCGCCGATGAAGCCCAAACTGCTAAGGAGAGAGCTGCGGCCGAGGCCCGAGGGGAGGCAGTTGCGGAGTTCCTTGCTGAGGGCTGGAGGGCCGAGGGCCACAAGGAGTGGGTTGCCTCCGTGGTGGCAGCCTCGGTGGATGCTTGGGTTGAAGTCCCCGGGGTAGACTGGCTGACCGATAGGGGCGACGCCTACTATCAGGGGGGTGAGTTCTTTACCCAGCACCTGATATACCGGAGGCTCGCCAGGCACTTCGGCGTATCCCTCGAACAATTTGACCCCTCGGTATATGGCCTCCCTCCGTTGCAACCAGATGTTAGAGTTCCCCTCCCCCCGGGTGAAGAGCGGCCAACAATCTATGATTCTGTGATGATGGGGGGTGACGGGGTTGGAGCCATCGGGGGTGATGCTGCCGGAGAAGAAGTCTCCTCCAAGGCTGTCGGGGAAGATGCCCCCGGTGACAACGAGGCTGAAGCCGTCGAGAAGATTATCACTTAGTCAAATCTTTTCTTTTTAAAAAAACCTTGTAATGAAATTTTTGTTGCCCCTCGGCCTTGGCCACACTCTGTAATGATCATATTGACTATTTTTGTGTTGTAATTGAATGATTGCCTTCGGGCTTGGTGTATATGATATGCTTCCTTCTGATCTGTTCATTGTTGAATGTATGCCTTCGTCTTTGTTTTGAATGTATGTCTTGTTCCTTTGAATGTATGTCTTAGGACTTAGAATGTCATCTGATTGTAGCTAGCCCTTGGGAGCCTTCGGTAGTTGGGCACCCTCCGCTGGATATGCAACCGGTGGTTCGGCAGCAATTAGGACTTAGAAATTTTTTTCTAAGTGTAGCACAGCATGAGGCCTTCGGGTGTTTGTAGTAACCCACCTCCTAGGACTTAGAAAAATCTCGAAGTGTAGATTCCCCCTTGAGAGCCTTCGGGATATAGCGCCCATTCCTTATGTGTGAATAATGGACCGAGGGCCCAATGCACAGGACTTAGAGATTTTTGCAAGTGTAGTATGCCATGTAGCCTTCGGCTACTGTGGAGCCCCACCTGTAATATTGAGCAGGCCGGGGGCTAATTCTTTAGGACTTAGAAGATTTTCTTGAGTGTTGATTCCTTGTGAACTGTAGCCCTCGATTGATAGGTAGCCTTCAGCAATTAGGTCCCTCGAGATGAGGGCGAAATATGTAGGACTTAGAAAATCTTCTAAGTGCAGGGTTTCCCTTGGGAGCCTTCGGGAGATGGCATCCCTTCATGATGTATGAGTAGTTGACCGGGGGGAAATATGCAGGACTTAGAAAATCTTCTAAGTGTAGAGTTTCCCTTGGGAGCCTTCGGGAGATGGCATCCCTTCATGATGTATGAGTAGTTGACCGGGGGGAAATATGCAGGACTTAGAAAATCTTCTAAGTGCAAAATCTCCCTTGGGAGCCTTCGGGAAATGGAATCCCTCCTTGGTAAGGCTGGGCCTATTAGGAGACCATCAGAATACACCAATGGCTCTCCTCCCTCGGGTTAACCTTCCGAGTGCCGAGGGGATCGAGGGACGTTTCCTGGGCACAAGATATGGTGGTCCGTAACCTGCCTCCCCTTGGGGGATGGCGCGGAAAGCGCCTCATTTTTGAAAGTCATCCCCTCGGCGCTAGACATAGTCTGTGGCCTGCCACACCCTTGGGGTGGTGGCGCGGGGAGCGTTTCGGTTTGGAAGTCGAATCCTGGGCATTCCTCATGCCTGTCATACCCTGGGGGAAATGACGCGGATAGCGTTCCGTTTTTGAAAGTCGAATCCTTGGCATTTCTCATGCCTGTCATACCCTGGGGGTAGTGACGCGGAAAGCGTTTCAAGGAAGGGTTTTCATTTTCACACTAGTTGCAAATGGCCGGGGGCACTACGTGCCGCCGGCACCGATGGTGGCGCCTTCGGTATATGCGTCCTCGTGGGGTACGGCTTTTAGAAACAACACTTGGTGTTAGTTTCGATGTGTAGCCCCCGGTACTTGGTACCGAGGGGTCTTTTGTAGGAACACTTGGTGTTCTCTTGTTGTAGTTGATGTAGGTGTCTACCCTCGGTACTTGGTACCGAAGGGTCTTCAAATGAAACACTTGGTGTTTCCCAATAGATGTTCGGAAGCTGTTAGGAGAGCATATCCCTGACACTTGGTGCCGAGGGGTCTTCTGTGAAACACTTGGTGTTTTTTCTACGTTTCGATATTTGATGAGGGAGGTGTACCCTCGGCACTGGGTGCCGAAGGGTCTTCGGTAGGAACACTTGGTGTTCTCTTGTTGTAGTTGATGTAGGCGTCTACCCTCGGTACTTGGTACCGAAGGGTCTTCAAATGAAACACTTGGTGTTTCCCAATAGATGTTCGGAAGCTGTTAGGAGAGCATATCCCTGGCACTTGGTGCCGAGGGGTCTTCTGTGAAACACTTGGTGTTTTTTCTTCGTTTCGATATTTGATGAGGGAGGTGTACCCTCGGCACTGGGTGCCGAAGGGTCTTCTGTAGGAACACTTGGTGTTCCCATCTTTTCTTTTTTGATGTTGGAGGTGGGGAAGTACCCTCGGCACTGGGTGCCGAGGGGTCTTGACTGAAAACACGTGGTGTTTCTACTGTTTGTTGTATGTGTTGATGGTGTCCGCCCTCGGCACTGGGTACCGGAGGGGGTTCTTCTTGTGGTGAGGCCTGGGGCCTGTAGTCAGTATGAGGGCTTGATGTCTTGAATGTATCTTCATTCTTCGAAATTGGAGGCCTTGGGCCATTGGATAGTACATTCACTAGTTATGAGGGCTTGGCCGCTCTTACATTATTGATAAAATTTAACTAAATGGTGTACATTCCAGTGCCTAGAGACCTCTTTCCCGTTGGGGCGTTTGAGTCTGTAAGTCCCGGGTTTGATGATGACTGCTATGATGTAGGGGCCTTCGAATTTTGGTGCCATTTTTCCTCCCTCGGTTGGTTGGCTGGCTTCTCTCCTCCGGAGGACATAGTCCCCCACTTGAAATTCCCGGGTTCGAACTTTGGCGTCGATGTAGCTTTTAACTTGCCTTCGGTAGTTTTCTGCCCGGATGAAGGCCCGCTCCCGGCGCTCTGAAATGAGGTGCAGGTCGAGGGCCATGTTGCTGTCGTTGACCTCGGGGTCATATTGGATCACCCTTCGGGTAGGAAGGGTGACTTCCGTAGGAGCTTTGGCTTCAAAACCGTAGCAGAGGGAGAAGGGTGTTTCACCTGTAGCGCGCCGAGGGGTAGTGCGGTAGGCCCAGAGGATGTTGTGAAGTTCTTCCACCCAGCCACCACCCTCGGCCTCCAGCTTCTTCTTGAGGCCCTCGAGCAAGGTCCGGTTGGCGTTCTCTACCTGCCCGTTGCCTTGAGGGTAGGCAACGGAGGAGAAGGTGTGTTTGATGCCCCACGCCTCCAGAAGGGCACGGAAGGGGGCTGCCTCAAATTGTGTTCCACTGTCGGAGATGATCTGCTGGGGGACGCCAAACCTTGTGAGGATGTTCTTGAGGACGAAGTGACGACACTTCGCCTCTGTGATGCTGGCGAGGGGTTCAGCCTCCACCCACTTGGTAAAATAGTCGACGGCCACAATGATGTATCTGTTGTTGGAGGTACCCCTCGGCAGAGGGCCCACAAGGTCTATCCCCCATCGAGAAAATGGGACAGATGTGCTGATGGGGGCATAGTTGACCGCTGGCCTGCCGGGGGCTTTCTGGAAATGTTGACATGCGGTGCACCTCCGGGCAAGGTCAGCACAATCCCTGGCCATGGTTGGCCAGAAGTAGCCCTGGAGAATGAGCCTTCGGGACATGGAGAAGGGTCCTTGGTGAGCTGAGCAAGTGCCACTGTGCACTTCCTCCATTGCGACCTCGGCTTCATCTGGATGAAGGCACCGAAGTAGCGTGCCATTGTAAGATCGTTTGTAGAGCCTTCCATCTTCGATGGTGTAGCTGGGAGCCCTCAGCTTTGCCAGTTTAGCGCGGGCCTCATTCTCGGGTAGCTGCCCTGTGGAGATGAAGATGGTGATATCTGAGATCCAATCCTCCTGACGCTGTTGTATGTTCATAACGGGGCTTGCATGGATGCTTGAGAGGCTGAGTTCCTCGATTTTGGCAATTTTGGAGATGTGCTCGGGGGAGTCGGCCGAGAGCTTAGATAATATGTCGGCCTCGGAGTTCTGAGCCCTCGGTATTTGAGTGAGAGAGTGTGCCTCAAATACCTTAAGCAACTCCTTGGCCGCTTCCTTGTACTGTTTCATTCTTCCCTCCTTGGCCTCATATTCTTCGGAGATTTGGCCAACGACCAACTTGGAGTCGCATTTGATGTGGATCTGCCGAGCCCTCATGTTGGCAGCCAGCCGAAGGCCACATAGGAGGGCCTCATATTCGGCCTCATTGTTGGAGACCTTGAAGGAGAAGCGGATTGCATAGTAAGCCCTGAAGCCCTCGGGAGTAATGAGGACTACCCCTCCCCCGCATGCTTTGGTCGCGGAGGAGCCGTCAGTGTAGAGGGTCCACCAGTCGTCCGAGGTTGCCGAGGGCTCCCCGTCCGTGGCTGCCCTTGCGGTACATTCCGTCACAAAGTCCGCTAGGGCTTGGCCCTTGATGGCAGGCCTTGGACGGATGTCAATGTTGTACTGGCTCAAGAAGATAGCCCATTTAACCATGCGGGAGGAGCTGGTGGGGCTCCTCATGAGGGCGCCGAGGGGTTGATGAGTGAGGACCTGAACTGGGTGAGCCTGAAAGTAGTGGCCCAACTTCTTGACAGTCCAAACGATGGCCAACACCTTTTTTTCCACAGGGGAGTACCTGAGCTCGGCCTCCCTTAGGGTCTTGCTAACGTAGAAGATGGCATGTTGGATGCCGTCTTCCTCCCGGATGAGCACAGAGCTGATGGCTACCGGGCTAACCCCAAGGTAGAGGTAGAGGGTCTCCCCTACCTTGGGTTTGGAGAGCACAGGGGGTGAAGATAGCTATCTCTTTAGCTCGTCGAAAGCCCCCTGGCATTCTGGAGTCCATAGAAAGCCAGCCGTCTTCCTCATGATCTGGAAGAAGGGTAGAGACTTCTCTGCCGATTTAGATAGGAAGCGGTTGAGGGCTGCCAGGCGGCCCGTCAACCGTTGAACTTCCTTCACGTTACGTGGGGGCTCCATGTTGATGATGGCCTGGATCTTCTCGGGATTGGCCTCAATACCCCTTCGGCTCACCATGTAGCCTAAGAATTTGCCCCCTTGGACGCCGAAGGTGCACTTCTTCGGGTTTAGCCGAAGGTTGAATTTTTGCATGATGGCAAAAATTTCCCGGAGGTCGTCAGCATGACTGGAAGATTGCTTGCTCTTGACGATCATGTCGTCGACATAGGCCTCCATGGTGCGCCCTAGGACGGCTTGAAAGACCCGGGCCACCATCCGGGTGTAAGTGGCCCCTGAGTTCTTTAGGCCGAAGGCCATCACTAGGTAGCAGAAGATGCCCTCGGGAGTCATGAAGGCAGTTTTTTCGGCGTCCTCCTCGTGCATGAATATTTGGTGGTACCCTCGGAAGGCATCGAGGAAGGACATGATTTCACACCCCGCGGTCTCATCCACCAATTGATCAATGTTTGGTAGCGGGAATGGATCCATGGGGCATGCTTTGTTGAGATCAGTGTAGTCC